TTGTGCCCTATTCTAACGATTTTCGACCTCATTCCTGCACAAATGGTATCAGAGGGGGCTTCGAATTCAAACTATATGCAAATCTCCGGAACCACCTTTTCCTGACCTGTGCCTTTAAGAATTATCAGAAACTGCAAAAGTCATTATTAAAATTAATGTTTCCACCTGCCGAAGGGGAATTCCTTGGCTGCTTCAGAGATTTTCCCTCCAATTCAGAGCACACTTGCTTTCTGGCGTTAATCAGTCCCGTCTCAGCGTCTCAGAAATGCGCCCGAAATTCGATATCCATTTTGAATGGTAGTGGCGTATTGAATGCGTATGTGGTCTATACAATGTATCCTCAGGGAATCTTGAAAACCATTTTCGTCTTGAAATGTTCCTTTAATGGCACAGTTCACGATAATTTTGGGTAACCCAGATTATGATGAAAAATGGGAAGGCAATATCGAAAATACTGCGATAAAGGTGAGGAAACTGCGTGAATCGGTTTCAAAAGTGAAAAAAGACTTTGAAAAACCGTTAAAAATGGGGCTGGACGCGAATGAGATAGAAAAATGAATAAGAGTGGGGGCGTTCGGACGAGCTATACAATGTGTCTCACGTACGTGCTGGTCCTGGTGCGAATAGCGACTATGGCAAGCCAAAATTCATTCACTTATAAGCATAAGTGAACAAAAAACCCTAGTAACACCAAAAGTAGCTCACCTTTTTCAGCCTCCAGGAGTAGGAAATTAAATAAGGGATCGCGTCAGCAAAAAGAAAAACAGAGGAAAAAAGAATGGGAGAAAAACACCGCCTCANCACTCGGCGATTAGTTGATTGTGCGTGGGTGCTAGAACGAATAATAGCAATCGGTATTGTCTCGACACTCGTCTAACGTGACACTGATCGAGAGGACCAGGAGGCGGAAAGGCCATTGACGTTTCCGCCCATTGAATTATCATGAACTCTTCGTTTAATTAACTTCAAAGTATCCTTATTCCAGCGAACGAGTCAGCGATGGTGATCGAATCGAATGAGCGCCTCAAGTCGCCTTTCTTGTCAAGCATTTTTTTAGTAATCAGGTTTGTTTCATAACGCAACAAGCAGTGACGCGTGGGGACGGGAGGAGACTGTTAATCTTTTGCTCCTCCGAAAAGGGAATTCCATTCAGTGATCGTCCGGTGAGACTCCAGAATAACCCTGTGATGATGATCTCAGATGATGATTGTGCAATTCTTGAGAAATCAACGAAAGTGGACAGTGCGGATAATCGACAGAACTGCGCAGGTGATGATATCTATTAATTTTTATGAGTAAATAATGATCATGTTATTCCGAACACACATTCGAAGATAGCACATTTTGGAGGCGAAGGGGCTCAAAATTAAGCTGTACCTGTTAGAGGGTGGGTAGAGTGTATTCGAAAAGAAAGAAAGATGGAACTTTTACAAATTATCCTAACAAAGCTCGTCTCCCCTTGCAGTCCAATTGCGGTATTTCTGGTAGAAAACGAGATCATGGGGAGAAAAGAGCAACTTTGAGTAAGCTCTCGTTTGTTAGTATCGCATTTATTATGTTAACAATTATCCTTTCCGTAATAATGCTGTAGCGTCCGGAATTCCCGTCCCATCTAACCGTAATGAGTGTAAAATCAGTTCGGAACGATGGATGGAGAATAAATTGAGGTGGACAGAAAATAGCGAACGAGCTAATCCTCCTCTACGATCTTTGACTACAACGGGAAACGTTCAAACCATATCATAAAGGGGTGAACGAAGTAAGCAAACCAGCCCGTTTAGCCCTCATGCTGGATGCATTCGCTTATTCGATTCTGTGTAAGGGTCTCGTAATACCAGTCAGGGAAAGTACGTGGGGAGTCGCTTCTAAATCTCAGGTGACAGACACTTCCTTGTTAATATGTGGAAGACATTGGGCGAATATATGAATCAACTGTTAAGGCACACCATAATGTTACAGTTGCACGACAGCCCTATGTACATCGTACCGCAAAGAACTTCCACCTGGGATTCAGAAGCGACTCCCCACGTACTTTCCATGAGTGGGATTATGAGACCCTTAAACAGAATCACAGAATAAATGCATCCAGCAGAAGGGTCAAACGGGCTGGTTTGCTTACCTCGAGTGAACTCCGGATAAAACAGCACAGTGGGAAGAGTGAATTGATACATGAGGCATATGAGTTACCGTAGGATTAGCCACACATTCTCATTGTCAATTGCACGGCAGCCCTATGTACACCGTATAAAGACCTTCCGTCTGGGATTTAGAAGCGACTCCCCACGTAATTTCTCTGAGTGGGATTATGAGACCCTTAAACAAAATCGCAGAATAAGCAAATACATCCAAATAGGTAAAAACTCTTTTGGCCCGGTTGGCCATTCATTTGGTTGAGCAGTATTCCTGTAAACATTTTTATACTTTCAAACGATGCAGTTGCAAATCATACTAATCGGATTCCAATGGGTGTAAAGGCTGAGGCTTAGTGGGAATCAAATAAAGGGAAAGGAAAAGAGTCTTCTGAGAAGGAAAAGAGTTGATGTGGGATTATCTTTGATAGAGTGAGGTGATATATCGCCTTTATCGATTACCAAATGGCCCTTTCTTCCCTTTTTATTTTCTTCTTACTTCTTTAAACATATGATCATTTTCTGACTGTTATCTACCGAGAAGTAATAAATAAAGGACTAAATCTTTAAAGGCCTAACAAAAACAAAGTTATCTCCGGAATCACTTGGCGTTGTTGGCCAAGTGAACATCCTTCTGTTCGTCTCGTTGGTCTGCGGATGTCTATCTGACAGTGTTGCTAGATCCTTTATGATGTCTTTTTTCCTACTTCAAACTGGTTTCTGTGCCATTAGAGTATTATCATGATGCTCAGTTGTATTACATATTATTTATGAAAATTAAAAGATGCTTCAAGTATGTTCACATATTATACTTTACTTTATGGTACTCTCTTCACTCGAACTCACTTTTCTTAAACCGTCGCTTTGTCCCAGGCACAGCTTTTGCAGAACGTCGGCCCCTGACCCCCTCAAACGATTCTATTACAAGCCTAATGACCCTGACAGATACCGTGTCACACTCTGAACTTCCTCAGGTTCGGTTGTCCTTCTTCGTAGCATCCACTAGCCGGAGCGAAGCCATGATAATTTGATAGATACTCCTCGATGAGAGTACAGAAAAAAGGTGTTTTCAGTTTTCTAGTCGCGCAGTGCGAAATTGATGGCCACAAATATGACCCGGAATTTCTTCGTTTTGGCTTAGAGCATCGTGCAGTCGCTGCGGTTTTACTCTGATTACAATATGATTATTTTATTTACAACAGCAACATTTTGTGGCAATTAGAACTATGTGTAAGATGAAAACAACGAGCGATGTGTAGAAAAGGATTTGAGGACAGTACGTCAGAGATGTGATATCCAAGTAGTCGACCGAACTCACCAAAGCCACCGCTTTATAGAAACCTGAAAAAAGTCGGAATATTGAGTTTGTAACATGAGTTAATGTGAATGGTGAAAATGGTGTAGTGTTAAGTGGTGTACCATCTCACACGCATGGTCACAGGTGCAAATCCCTAGGGCAACCAAACCTTCCATCTTTCCGGAGTCGGTTAGTTGGTACCGGATTTGTCTGGGAGAATAAAAGCCCTGACCTGTACATAAGCTGCCCCCACAAGTTGTATAGACATATGCATTCAAACGACCACCACGATTTTTAATAGGAGTCGATTGCTGTGGTGCAATCCAAGAATGGGATTGCTTGACTCCGAAAGATTTTTTCTTTTATCGCTAAATTTCCCAAAAATGTGTGAACCTTGCCTGAAACTACTTCTGTTGCACCAGGAGTTGACCCCAGTGAGACCTTTCACTATCAAGTTAAAGGATAAAAGGATGAAGTTTCTGGCGTTAATCAATCCCGTCTGGGGATGCGCCCCCGCACTCGACTTCAATTCAGAATCGTAGTAGCGTAATGAGTGCGTATGTGGCCTATACAAAGACTTGCGGTGGCGAGCCGATGTACAAGTCAGTGCTTTTATCCTCTCAGACGAGTCTGGTAACAACTGACCGACCCTGGAAAGATGGAAGGCCTGGTTGGACTAGGCGGATCCAGGATTTGAACCCCTGATCATGTGTGTGAGATAGTGCGCCACTTGCCACTATACCACCTCCGCCACTATCAACTTAACTCCTTACAAAGTGCTTTCAACCAAACCGGTTAGGATGTGGCTTCAGGTGAGCGTACACTCTGAAGATCGTTAGGAATATACCTCACCACTCACTCTAATGCACAAGCATACGATTGGTCTGAAAAAAATCTACTGTACAGAAGACCTACCGTACACTCCAACAACCATAGAGACCAATGATATAGCAACATATACAAGTGCCACCAACAAACCGACCACAATTTGGAAAGCATCCTTAAAAGAACATTAATGAGAACCCATCATGGAAAACCCCTATTTCAGAATTTATACGAGTAACAATAGTAAGACTGAAAACTCTAAGCGGATGATATCGATAGACCGCAAAGATAAATTCGCAATTTTCTTTTTCGGAGTGCAATTTTTGAATCCAGTGGACATTTTTGGGCTCGTAAACTCACAAAATTTTTCTTCTCCGACTGATCGCTTATTGAAAATATAAATTTTATCAAGGCATCTCTAGAGTTTTGAAATCAGCTCACCTTGACTCCTTTGGAGACGGCGATAGTTGTCTGCATACAAGTGACAAAATATGCAGTGGCTAATAACATCTGTAGAACACCTGAAAATTTGGCGCAATGACATACACATTCGGAAAGCTCGTCCAAGTCCAGTTCCATGGAATTTATGTCGTCACATTCTCGTCCAATCCCTGATTTTACGGGTGCGCTTCGTTGCGCGCGTCCGTGAAAACTAGGTCACGCCGCAGCCGTCGCATGCGGCGGGTCAACTCGCAATACTTGATAGACGTCGCAGTTGTCAACGGGGCATACGAATTGCGCTTGGTCCACGGCAGTGAGCCAAAGAGAAGATAACACGGACAAATGCAAATCGTTCGCTCCACTTACACATAGTGGTACTGTAATGTCATCTCGAGACCTCAGTGGAGTGCGCCGCGCGCGAAGTGGGCGGGGTGACCTACTTCTGGCGGACGCGCGCAACGGACTTCGCCGCTTTCCTTGGAGCCCTGTACTTATTGTTCAAAGTAATTTTTTCAAAGTAATTACAGTAATATGCACATACCGTATATTATTAAAACGACGACAAGTTTTTTTGCATGGATTGCCGTATCAGGTAGGCGATACAAGTATATGGTTCCAGCGCCTACTGCGGCTAGACCAGTGGCGGCAGATATGAAGGATGTGACAGCTTGACGTGGATTCACTTAACAGTTCGTATTGGAGACGAATTACGCAAAAAACGAATATTGCTAAAATTGATTTGCTTTCCAACGGGCTCTGCAGTAAGACCAGAAGTACATGGGTCAGGAGGCGCCGCTGAAGTCACTGGGTCGTCAGCACTGGCCTAGCCGGCCTAGTTTCCGACAGCACTGCGAGCTGTGAGCATACTGTGCCGCTGGCCTAAGTTAGGATGTGCTCTCCTCACCCATGCTAATTCTTCTGATAGGTAATGCACCTTTGAAGGGGAAGGGAATTCGGTAGAAGCAGAAATCAGTCCAAGTATAGTTGCGAAGTACAGATGTCCCTGGCAAACCAACCCATATTATGTGAGAACTTACTCATTTGTTCGAGAATCTTTACAAAATCCGCCACCATATCCTCCTGTGTTCGTTTCCTTCGCTCTAATCGCCGCGTTTCTTCACTGTCATCCATTTGTACCACGGTTACCTGAATCGTTTTATTCAACAACGGATCAATAACTACTGAAAACAGTGTGCGATAGTGGAGTGGTGCAGAAAAGGTTAGCTGAGTGTGTTCATTTGCAGGAAGTAAAAATGGCTGAAAGATGCCGAGCGACAGAGTAGACAGAAGGACCCATAGATCGGCAGCGCCGCCTTTCTTTGGTAGAGCCGCCTCTGTGTGAGTGCATTAATGTCAGTGTGTGATTACGGTGATTGCAGTTCGGTGCTGCGAGACAGCTGTCAAAGATCTGCCGACTGCGTGCGTGTGAGCGTGAGAACTCGGGCACCAATTTCAGAACGAATTTCTTCTTCACCCCTTTCCTTCAAAGAAGTGTAGTACTGTGCAAATTGTGCAATATTATCAGTGTACAAAATGGTTTTCAGTTTTGATCAAACGGGAGTTGTGATATGACCGATGTCCAGGGAAAGATTAGACCACCGGCCATTCCTC